CAAAATGGACTTCAAAAAAAGAGCCATAAAAAGAGACCCAAAAGGTCACTTCATAATGCTCAAGGGAAGAATCCATCAAGAAGACATAAACCTTGTGAATAAATATGCACCCAACATAGGATAACCCAAATACATAAAGAAAATCTCGGAGGACTTCAAGAAAAATATTGACAGCAACACAATCACAGTGGGCAATTTCAAAACCCCACTGTCAAAAATGCAGAGGTCTTCCAAACAAAATATCAACAAAGATATTGAGTCATTGAGCAATGGTGAATTTACATAATGGAATACTACACATCAGAAAGAAAGAAGGAGCTCCTACCCTTTATGACAGCATGGATGGATCTGGACAGCATTTTGCTAGTGAAATAAGCCAGGTGGTGAAAGACAAATACCATATGATCTTACTTATAAGTGGAACCTGATCAACAAAACAAACAAGCAGGCAAATTGTAACCAGAGACATGGAAATTAAGAAGAAACTGACAATAACCAGAGGGGTGGGAAGAGGAGGTAAAAGGTGGGGAGGAGGAAGGGTTATCAAGGAACATGTATAAAGGACACTTGTACAAACCAAAGGGGGATAGGATCCAAAGTGGGAGGTGGGGAAGGATGGGGAGGTGGGGTTTGGTGGGAGGGAAATGGAGACAATTGTACTTGAACCACAGTAAAAAAAAAAAAAAAAAAAAAAAAAAAAAAAAAGGCAAAGAAAAATCAGTGTGTGTGTCTACTCTTATCTGCTCACAGGAAAATGCCAGCAGATTCTGTTTGGTTCTCTGTTATTCAGGATGCAGGCTCTCCCTTTCCTAGCTCAGTACCTCTAAAATATCTGAATCCTTTTTTTGGTACAAATGACCAGGCCTGCTGAAAGGAAAAGGTGTATATGTAACAGAAACCCCTGAAAAAAAATGAGTCCCAATGCCAGATTCTTATGAAAAGGAAAGGAGTTAGTTATTCCAAAGTTATACAGGATTTAAATAATGGCATAATTTTTTCATTTAATCTCAGTCCCTTAAAAACAAAAGAATCACCCACAAACATACACAGTCTTACCTGTACTTGTCATACCAGACCAGTTGGATGTAACATCTCTCAGGAAAAGAAACAGAAGTCTGTAAATTAGACAGGCAGATTCCATTTTAACCTTCTGGCTTCTCCCAGTTGTCCATGTTCAGCTAGGCTCCTGCTCTTAATCCAAAACCATGAGCTGGTGGAGTCCTTATGCAGCCTTTCAAACCCTGTGGCCAAGACTGCATGGATGCCCCATGCTTGAGTTTAAAACCTGGCATAGATTCCCCCAGTAAACCCACTTCTGACTCCTCCCACAAAGGATTACACCTGCCAGTACTCTTGTTTCTTCTTCCTTTCTTGGCTGCCATTGTTAGTCTGGGAAGGGTTGGCCCATGAGGTAGGAAACTCCTCTAAGCCCCTTAAGCAGGCACAGGAATCAGGGGACTGCCTCCAGGGTGCATTATGGGTTATAGTGAAGCCCATCTCCCTGGCTCCTAAGACAGAAAGCACTACTGGACTGCTTTTACTAAAACACTGGCCAAGTTCTTTAGATAAAGTAACTCCCAAGGGCCCTGCTCTTCTTCCCTTTCCTCCAGCCATGTTATTGGAGGTTTGGTGTTTTCTCAGCCTGTACCTTAAGTTCTAGACCTTGTTGTATACCTGTTACATGTAGGCTGGCATTGTCCACTAGACCCTTATGCAATAGTAGAAATGTTCTATATCTATGCAGTCCAACATGACAGCCACTAGTTACATGTGGGTTATTGAGCAGTTGAAATGTGGATAGTATGGCAGAAGAATAAAATTTCACACTTTATTTCATATTTTTATTTAAATTTAGATGGCCTCCTGTGGTAGGTAGCCACCACCTTAGTCAGAACAGGTATAGGCAATGAGTCCTTTGGATCTACTATAGGACAGCTTCTACTTCCACTTGAGGGTTTCACTTCCTCCTAGTTCACAGCAGAGCAAATCTCTTTCACTGCTCCTTCGAGGGTTCCTCATTTATCTCTTTAGTCAGTCTTCACTCTATCAGGTTTGTCTCTGCCCTGTCACCTCCACTCACCTAACCTTTGGGAAAACAAAACACTCACTTTACATGTTAAGGTTTGAAAGTTTTTCTCCCACTTGGCTGTGGATGGGGAGACTGGGAGTGCCTATAGATTTTCTGTGAGGAAAAAAATGAAGGACATACCCAGAGACATAAAAAAAATTTCACCATATACCCCTGAAACTTTTATATCACGAGTTTTAGCTTAGGGGAAGCAGTCCATTCCACCTCCGTCCCTGCTGACTCTATTTGAGAATCTAAATTTTTAAGCTTTAGAATAGTCATGGAGAGTGTTTTTAAAATGTATAATTCCTGGACCTAGACTTTAGGAGATCATGATGCAAAATGCTAGTGAATTAAGAATCAGTATTTCTTGAACAGCCTTTATAGTTTCCGCATTGAGCCAGATTTGGGAAGTGCTTTGATTAACATATTGATGTTGCACTTCAGAGGTTTTGAGTCGGTCCTGCTCCATTAAATCCCCATACACTGCTCTGCTTTTCAAATACTTATGTTCAGTTTTGTTGTTGTTGTTTATTTTTGTTCTTTTTAGTTTTCCTCTTTACTCCTGCTTTTACTGCCACCTCCAATTTCCTGCACCAAAAGTACACGAGTTAGAACAATGCATATGTTGCCAGCGGAAGTCAGGTTCTTCCACTGGATATGAGGAAAACATTCCAAGAATCCATGCTGAGGAAGTTATGGTGTGGCAAGATTTAGTTGGGAAGATTGCCCCTGGCTTTCTAATTTCCCATCTCCTTCCATCCCACCATGGATAAAGTCCAATTGTGTCTTCAGCAAGGCCAGACAAAGGCCAGTGTCCAGAGCTTGTTTCATATTAAGCTTAGTTCTTTGGAGTCCACACATGTGGGCTGGAGGCCCACATGGCTGCTAGACCCATATGGTTGTGTATGTTCCTGGGTGAGACAGAGAACCCATGAATGAATGGGGTGATTCTGGGTCATTGAGCAAAGAAAGCTCTTCCTTATTCCCCTGGAGTTATATCCTTTTCGCTTGCAAAAGACCACTAGTCTTTTTCAAAATGACTCATTAACTTCCAAGCTTTTGTGGGCTTCTGATAGGTCCACCAGCTAGCCAATGATCCCTTTTCCAGGTTAGACTGACAGCCTCTATGGTCAAGCACCTCTCCCTACACCATTTTGACTACTATTGCCCAGGTACTTACTTTCCCTTGCTCCTCCCAACAATGGTACCAGAGGGGGAAGGGAGGGATGTTAATTCTTGGAGGGGCAATGCTATGATCCCCTGGGGTATGAAGTTGTAGATTCCTGGTGAAGTAAACAGGCTTATGTTCCCTGGGTTATTATGCTCAATTGGAAAATGTCCAATTTCCCTTCCTTCCTTTCTTATTAATGATGAGGTAACTATCTATGGTAACACACATGGTAGTACTAAATAAACTCTGCCTGAAGATCTGAGATTTTCTTCTGTGTCTAGAATCCTGAAATGCATAAACTCTGTGACATTTGCTTTAGTTATCTATGTTTCTAGGAATTTTGGCCTTCTTACCTTGCTCTCTAAAGCAGGCTACATTTTCTTTTTTATTTAATTTTTTAAAAATATTTTATTTATTTATCTTTAGAGAGAAAGAGAAGGAGAGAAGGAGAGAAATATCAGTGTATGGTTGTCTCTTGAGTCCCCTGCTGGGAACTGGCCTGCAACCCAGGCATGTGCCCTGACTGGGAATCGAACCATGATCATGTGGTTCGCAGGCCCGCGCTCAATCCACTGAGCTACACCAGCCAGGGCACATTTTTTAATATATATTTTGTGTGGCAGTGCCCAAAGTGTACTTAATAGTTTGAAATTGTCAGATGTTCTCATTTGGCAGTCATCTTTAAATTTGTTTCACCACCTCTGTTCTAGCATTGCCAAATGGAAATGGTCTAACTAGACTGTGTATTAAAAAATAACTCCTTCTGAGGCAGTCCTGGAAATCTTCAGCAGCAAATAGCATTTATATACTTTTCCTTGGAGATTAGAATACTTTCTGGTAGGCAGATATTGTACCCTACCTATGGACAAGATTATGTAAAGGATAAGAGAACTCAGTGGGTCACATACATTGAAAAGGATTCAGTCAATAAAAAGAGTAGACTATACATATATTGCATATATGCAACTCAGTTACAACACAGGAAGAAAGAACCAACAGAAGGTTGCAATATGGGGAGGCTGAAAAAAACTCTTAATTTTTATTGGGGGAAATGGTACTATCTTAAATGTCTTGCTCCAGAGATAAAAATGACTCTTCCTGACAGCTGTTGCTGGTGGGTGAGTTTTAAATTATTTATTTATTTATTTATTTATTTATTTATTTATTTTAAGAGAGAGGGAAAAAAGGAGAGAGAGAACCATCTAGGGACCTGGTCCACAACCCAGGCATGTGTCCTGATGTGTCCTGACTGGAAATAGAACCGGCAAACCTTTGATTTGCAGAACTCAAATCACTGAGCCACATCAGCCAGAGCAGTATCAAGTAGTTAAGTTATTTTGTGTGGCTGCATTAGATTCCTTTTGCGGAACTCTCCAGTAGGTTGAGCATTCCTTCTGTTGATCCCATTTCTTCATTCATCCCATTGCCACGTGTCAGTCCTGCTGAGCAGAAATTCCTACACCAAAGTAAAGCTGAGTGTTTGAGTCCTGAAAGCCAGGAGTCATTTTCCATTTCCCTCATATTTAAAGGATTAAAATTTTTGTCTACTCTGGGACCCACATGTGCCTTCGGTGCTGAGTATCAACAGGATCCCACCAGACCTAGCTCTGTCTCCTACGGGTAACTGTGCTTGACATCTGGTTCTGTCTGCATTGCCGTAGCAGCGCCTGAGACTACGTATCCCGTCAGAAGGTGCGCGCTGCTCCAGCACTCCGCTTCAGAGTAGGTTCCGAACTACAAATTCCGGCAGGCCTTGCACACTAAGCCTGCGCACCCCGTAGGTCCTCGGAAAGAACGAAGGCGTGGAAGGTGTGCTTCAGCTGGCTTTGGAGCTGTGGCCGCGGTGTGTAGCGACATGGACAATGCAGGGAAGGAGCGTGAGGCAGTCCAGCTGATGGCGGAGGCGGAGAAACGAGTTAAGGCCTCCCACTCTTTCCTCCGAGGGCTGTTTGGGTGAGCGTCAGACCGCGCGTCCCCTGAGGGGATCTCCATTCCGTGCTCCATCCTCCGGGGCTGCCTCCGAAGTAACCCCTAGAAAGCCTTTAGGGCCTCCAGGTCTCCCCACACCGCAATCTTAAAACCCGTAGAAAGCCGCTGGGGCCCCAGCCCCAATGCACTTGACGAAGATTCTGTAGGGCCTGCGGAACATCTCCACCTGTGTGTCGCCACCCTCCTACACCTCCAACCCCGGCTCCCTCCATATCCCTTCCTGCACTGCGCTATCCCTCCGTGCGGGAGTCCCACGGCCTCACGGGTCCGCGGCAGCTCAGGGTGTGCGTTGGCCCTAATCGCAGTAGCTAGACCGATTTGTTCATTTCACCACTATTGAACCGCGTAGCTGAGGAGGCCTGTGCCTGGTAGGCGTGTGGCTGCCAGGGGAAGTTTGAGGCGCCAGTACCGGGACTCGTGACTCGCGCTTTTGGGGGCTCTGCGCCCTAGGGAGAAATGGAGGTTTCTCGGCGCCGCCATCCCAGCGTGGGAGTGCCCATTTGCTTTGCGCCAAGTAGACATTTAATAAATATCTTTGAGGCGTTTTCTCAGCATGGTAGTTTTCCTTCACCAGAGACTGATGTAGTAGAAAAGACCTCCGGTTTGATTAAGGATAACGCAGCTCCTGTTTATGTCAGCATCTTTTGGGAATAATTTTAATTTCCTGTAATTCTTCCATGCTGTTACAGCGAAGGTCTTAAATTCGGACTTGCCAAAAAGCAAAGCCTGCAATGACAGTTCTGGGAAGCATTATGGGCAGTTGAATATGTGAATGATTCAGCTGTTTAGGTTTAGAGAGGCAGTTTTTATTTTCTTCCTGTTGAAAGTGAAAGATCCTATGCTGATACCAAGAGAATTGTGTGGGTTTTTTTTTTGAGGGGGGGATGTTTTTTATTTTTGTTTTTGAGTTCTTGAGAAGGACAAGTGGCTCATACTTAACCATTGCATTATTGGACACGGTTTTATTTCTGTACAAAATCAGTTTGCGATATGCTTGTTTTGCCAGCTTCATTCTTTTAGTTATAATAGTTTACCATTGTTAACACATCTCCGGGAACTGTTTAAAGGCCGTTTTCACACAGTGCACAGCAGTGTGCAATACAAAGATACATGAAGGTAAGGGTTCTTCAAGAACCTTATAGAGGGTGTTTATCCCCGCTGGGTTCTAAATTTCTCGCGGGGTGTGCAGTTTGAAATACACCAATGATTTCTTAGTTTGTCCCCCTTTAAAAGCTACCACTGTACATAAGGATCGCTGCCTAATACTTGATGCTAATATCAAACAATAGCTCCTTTCTCTGATTCAGAAAACGTTTAAAATTTATTTAGATAAAAATTAATGCCATAGCACCTAGTGACAGAACACCATTTAATGTCACAGCATATTTCAAGTCAGGATGTCCTTCCTTGGGTGATAAGTTGTGATTGGCAGAGGAAAAGAGCATTACAGCACTTGAGGCTTGTTTCAGGGGAGCACATTGCTTTTTTTTTTTGAAGAGGTGTTGCATTATTATTATTGTTTTAGGAAACTAGGCTAAATCTTGTCATTAAGCCTAAAAGGATTTTGAAGTCTTTTTGTTTTGAAAGAACATCTTTTTTCCTTGACTGTTGATCACATATTTCACTGATAGGCCGTATAGGAAAACTTTCATCTTAACCATTCACATTCAGCTTGTATAATCCTAGGTCTGACTGGATACAGCTCGTGAATTTATTATCCTATCTTTGGAGCCCGGGGCCAGTGACTTGGCCTCTCTGTGCTCAGTTTCCTCTACTGGAAGAGTGAGTAGTAATAGTATATCTCATAGTGAGAGTTCAATGACTTTATGTTTGTGCAACATTTAGACAGGTTGGAAATAATTAGCATATTCATCAAACTTGTTGGTCCTAGTTATTTATCAAGGAAGCAGAGAGTCAGGAAGATTAGGTGACTTTGCCACTATGTTAAAGCCGGACCTTTGGAGCTGGATCATTGGTCTTTTAATAAAATAAAATATTTGAAAGAGCTCTGTACCATATAAGTGTTATTTATACTATGGAGGACTGCATTATTTTCAGTAATTCTTGGCTCCAGGAAAGCTGAGGGAAGAAGAGTACTCAGAGTTCTGTGAGTTTAAATAGTAGTGTATAATTATTTGAAGCCAAAAAAACAGGCCTAGTTTCTCTCTCAGTTACAATAGGAAGACAGATTCTGTTTCAGTTTTATTTTCTTTATTTTATTTTTGGGAGGATGCAATAGTTTAGAATGCCTTTTATTTTTTTAAGTATATTTTATTGATTATGCTGTTACATGTGGGGGCAACTTTCTTCTCAAGTCCCCCCATGTGCCATGGGTGGAGAGTAAATATGACTGAGACATGATGTGATCTGCTTAGGGAGGAGAAGTGGCCATTTCCCAGAGGGAAAGGCTGTGGGCAGTGGCCAGTTTCTCAGGGAGAAAAGGCCAGCAGTGGCCAGTTTCTCTGGCCAGTTTCTCTGAGGAGAAAAAGGCCCGAGCCCCCTCCTCCAGGGCCTTTTATTGGGTTGTAATACACAGGAATACAGGGCAGCACGGATCAAACAGTAGATAACATTTCAAAGATATCTGAGAGTTTACTATGAATCCGGGTCTGTCAGGAACAGAGTTTTAGGGTTTCCTGCTCGAACCCTTAACATATGAATGAAAGCACTCTTAGCAGAGCAAATTTCACAGGTTTATCAGGAAGTCTTTGAGATGCCAGATTTTCCCCCAGGACACACTCTAGCAAGGCAGGGAGCTGCATCTCTCCCCAACAGGTATTCAGGCTTAAAGGGATTAGAGCAAGGAAGTGCTTCTCCCAGAGGACATGGGGACTCGAGCTATGTCAAAGCGAGGGGCGAGAGTCCATTGCTCGTTGTTGCAGCCCCCCCACCCCGAGTCCTTCCATGAAGGCCTCCCAAGTGATAGAGTCTGGCTTAAGTTGCCCCCCTCTGTGAGGGTCTTACCTGTCATTGACTTCTGACCAAGGTTTGGGGGCAGGGAGAGGAAGCTGAGGCAAAGTTTGCTACCAGAGACCAGCTTTGTTGCATTCCAAGGGTCATCCCTCGCCCTTAGCTACAAGAGGTTGAGATACAATTCCTAGAACCAGGCAGAGCCATCTACAACAGTTACAGTTTTCCCAATTTGGCCCCCTTTATTCCCCCTCCACCCTGCACCCCCAACCCTCCAGCATCCCCCCTTAGTTCATGCCCATGGGTCATACATATATAATTTTTGAGTTCTGTTTCCTATACCATTTTTGACCTCTCGTCGTCTATTTTATGCCTACCAGTTATGCTTCTTCCCTGTGCCTTTTCCCTCCTATTGTGCCCCTCCCCCTCCCCACTGAAAACCCTACATGTGTTGTCCATTCTCTGATTTTGTTCCTGTCTAGTTGCTTAGTATTTGTTTTCATTATTTTTTTTTAGGTTCATTTGTTGATAGTTGTGAGTTTGTTGTCATTTTGCTGTTCATAGTTTTTGATCTCCTTTAATTTCTTAGATAAGTTCCTTTAACATTTCATATAATAAGGGCTTGGTGATGATGAACTCCTTTCACTTGACCTTATCTGAGAAGCACTTTATCTGCCCTTCCATTCTAAATGAAAGCTTTGCTGGGTAGAGCAATCTTGGATGTAGGTCCTTGCCTTTCATGACTTGGAATACTTCTTTCCAGCCTGCCTATAAGTTTTCTTTTGAGAAATCAACAGACAGTCTTATGGGCACTCCTTTGTTTTAGGTAACTTTGTCCTTTCCTCTTGCTGCTTTTAAAATTTTCTCTTTATATTTAATCTTGTGTAACTTGATGATGTGCCCTGGTGTGTTCCTCCTTGGGTCCAACTTCTTAGAACTCTCTGGGTTCCCAGACTTCCTGGAAGTCTATATCCTTTGTCAGATTGGGCAAGTTTTCCTTCATTATTTGTTCAAATAAGTTTTCAATTTCTTGCTCTTGTTGTTTTCCTTCTGCCACCCCTGTAATTCGGATATTGGAAAGTTTCAAGTTGTCTAGAGGTTCCTAAGCCTCTCTTCATTTTTTTTTGAATTCTTGTTTCTTGATCCTGTTCCGGTTTTATGTTTACTTCTTCATTTTGTTCCAGATCATTGCTTTGACTCTGTTTCCTTGCTGTCACTGTTGGTTCCCTGAATATTTTGCTTTATTTTACTTTGGGTATCTTTCATTTGTTCTTTCATTTTTCAACCAAGCTCGATCAGTTCTGTGAATATTTTGATTACCAGGGTTTTAAACCCTCCATCAGATAGCTTGGTGATCTCCTCATTGCTTAGCTTTTTTTCTGGAGCTTTGCTTTATTCTTTCATTTGGGCCCTATTTCTTTGTCTCTGGGCACCTATTAAGTTGTAAGGGGAAGGGGCCTTAGATATTCACCAAGTCAGGGCAACCCTCTTTGCTGAGCTGCATGCTGGCTGTGGGGGAGGAGCCAGCTTGCCTGCTTGGCTCTAGCCCCACTTTCCAAAAACTGACAACTGTGAGACTGGGAGTTTCTCCCACTGCTGTAACTGCTATAGCCCACAGTCAGCTCTGAGTATCAGTTTCAAGTTAGGCAGCCCCACCCATGCAGTCTGCCTCCTTGCCACAGGTTCTTTCCATCTGCTGGTCTTACAGGTCTGGTTGGTCTGGTTGGTCTGGTTGACTGTTTAATTTCTTGATTGTCCGAGTTCCATGTAGTTTGATTTTCTGGCATTTCTGGTGGCTTATTGATTTTAGATTGGTTGTTATCCTCCTTTTGGTTGTGTAAGGAAGCGAAGGGTTTCTACCTATGCCTCCATCTTGGCTGGAACTCTTCTCCTCTAGAGTGATGCCTCTGTATCAGTTTTAAATATTTAGAATCTTACATTATATTTGGCACCATTTGCACACATCATCATCCTTCTGGATTGGAAAACATTATTTCATGTTCTTTTCCCTTAGCTATAGAATTTTCCCAGGTACTTGTTATCCTTTATTTAAA